AAAAAAAAAGTACAAAAATTAGCCGGTCGTGGTGGTGGGCCCTGTGATCCCAGCCACTCTGGAGGCTGAGACAGAATTGTTTGAACCTGGGAGGCAGAGGTTGCAGTGAGCTGAGATCGCGCGATTGTACTCCAGCCTGGGCGACAAGAACAAAAGTCCATCACAAAAAAACCAAAACAAGCAAAAAACCAACTGGTGGGTGCTACCCACTGCTTACTCTGACAGACTGATGTTTTTAGGGGTCCCACGAAGGGCAGAAAAACTTTTACTACATAGTTGGGATTCCCAACTTGAGAGTCTGAGTAAGAATCTCGTGTGCCTTTTATGTGGTGTTCTTTACCCATTTCCCAAGGAACAAAACAGCTTATGGTTTACTACCTTGTGGGTTTCACTGCCATTTCCATTAGTCAGAATATAGAGGACATGACTAGAACAGTGTGTTAAGGAGAGAAGTGCCTGGAAAATCTTTTCAAAGGTGACAGTTGGCTCTGTGCCTCTCCAATCAGTGTCAAGGTAGGTCTGGAAAAGAAGTCGGACCAGCTACCTAAATTCTTTTCCCCCACTTCTTTCCCACTTTGGCAGATGCTGAGGGTTGGAAAAGCAAAAGCAGATGTGTGGCCCAAAACTGCTCCAAAGAAAGGTGAGGATGACCCACTTGTGAAGGGGGAGTTTGGTTCATTTCCATAAAAGGCTGTTTCTAGAAAGGAGTTGTTTCTAGAGTTTTAACCCTGGTATTTTTTAGATGAGAACAGCTTAGTTCCTCCTGCTCCTGTGGACAGCGACGGGGAGAGTGATAACTCAGACCGTGTTCCTGTGCCCAGTTTTCAAAATTCCTTCAGCCAAGCTATTGAAGCAGCCTTCATGAAACTGGACACACCAGCTACTTCAGATCCCCTTTCTGGTAAGGGCAGAGGCTGGCGTGCCCAGGGTTGTCAAACACACTGCACACGTCCTGTTATTCCTGCCTGGATTCAGTGGCAGACATCACTAATTAGGCACTCTTCCTTCTGAACCCTTTGGCACAATCTAGTGTCATTTAAATAGTACTCCATTTGGTATGTCAGATAGGACCTATTTGTCACCCCAGATTAATTCATGAGGCCCAAAAGTGAAATTCTGAGGAACTTTTCCAAGGTACAGTGGGGTGTACAACCTGTATCCTTTAGAATCTTGAGTTGGTACAGGGTAGCCAATTAGGAGAATTAACTCTCAAAGCCTGTTATACTCTGTTCGTGACTTAGATAAGAATCACATATGAGAAGCTCAGCACCTCTCTCAGTGCTGTGTGCCTTGCACCGTGCTAATTTTATCCTCCCAACAACCACATTAAATGGGTTTACCTCACATTACAGATGGGGAAACGGGTCCAGGGAGGTAAAAGTGACTTGTTCAAAAACACCCACTTAGTGTATACCAAGACTGGTATTAGAGTCTAGGCAGTCTAATTCCAGAGCCTCCACTCTCTCAGTAATGAAAATTGGCCAGGGGACAAGGGATGGCATTTTAAGTTAAGCAACCTCTCTTTCTGTGTCTCCCTTTAGAAGAGAAAGGAGGAAAGAAAAGAAAAAAGCAGAAACAGAAGCTCCTGTTCAGCACCTCAATCGTCCACACCAAGTGACACTACTGGCCCAGGCTACCTTCTCCATCTGTTGTTTTTTTTTTAAACCCCATGCTTTTGTTTGGCTGCTGTAATTTTTAAGTATTTGAGTTTGATCAGATTAGCTCTGGGGGGGAGGGGGTTTCCACAATGTGAGGGGGAACCAAGAAAATTTTAAATACAGTGTATTTTCCAGCTTCCTGTCTTTACACCAAAATAAAGTATTGACACTCACAAGAGATTTCTTCCTGCCAAGGTTTTTAGTTTGTTGTGAGTGTAGTCTTTTTGAACCATGTGTAATTAATTTTTCTCAACCTAAAATAAGATTGAGTCCCTTCGACATGCATTAGGCTGTCCAGCCCAGAATGGCACAGCACTGCTCTGCTGTAGCATCGTGTCAGGGCTTCCTGGGCTCAGCACCTCTCTCTTTTAAAAACAGTTGAATCCTTACTATTTAGTTCTCCTTGAAAGCAGAGTGGGAATAAAATGGATTTAGGACACCCAGTTTGAATTGCAGTTTATTTTTCTTCTGACACATGGCCAGGCTGTGGTGCCAGCTTAATGAGGTAGGTTGTCCTTGGCACTTGCATGTGTGAAAGTGTTTTGCCTCTTGTTGAGCATGGCTTGCATTGGCAAGGAAAGCTGTAACTCGTGAAGGAAGCCCTGAGACCTGCTACCCCTAAGATCGAGCTTGTTTTCAGTGACAGTGGCTTGAGTCGTAGGAACAGGAGTCTGTACAGCTGGATAAGAGCAGGGCTGTCTGAAGCCATAGCATTGCTGTCTCCCTCTGATCTAGAGCAGTTTTCTTATGCCTTGATTTGAGCTAATTTTCATGTGAACTCTTGCTGCTTAATAAAGTGACCTCTAGGTATATTAGACTGCGACGGCAAATGGTTGCAATAAATCACCTGCACAAGCAATGTGACCTTTTTGTTTTGTTAAGTTCATCACAGGTAAGCTAGATAAGTTATTTCTTGAATAGGTTAACATGATAGTTACCAGGATATCGTGGGCCGTCTTTTCTGGTGTCAGGTTTAAATGGTTTCAGAGCTGGGCTTAGCTTTAATCTGCCATTTTAAAAGAAATCCTTTCAGGAAATTTCCTGGGTGGATCAGGGTGTTCTGGCCTCAAGATGAGGCGGGTGGCTCACATCTGTAATCCCAGCATTTTGGGAGGCTGAGGTGGGCGGATCACGAGGTGAGATCAAGACTATCCTGGCCAATGTGGTGAAACCCCATCTCTACCAAAAAATACAAAAATTAGCTGGGCATGGTGGCAGGTGCCTGTAATCCCAGCCACTCAGGAAACTGAGGCAGAATAGCTTGAATCAGGGAGTCGGAGGTTGCAGTAAGCTAAGATTGTGCCACTGCACTCCAGCCTGGTAACAGAGTGAGAGTGATACTCTGGCTAAAAAAAAAAAGAGGGAGACATGTTGAATGAGGCCAGTCACCAGTATTTCTGTTAAATGTGTGTAAGTACTTTCAGTGTAATCCATTGTATTATGGAGAGGACAGATCTTAGAGATGTCCGTAGGTAGTAGACCAAACCTGGATCACAATCTCTCACCGTTCCTGTTTCCTAGTGAGTGTGGCAGTCTCACTTGTCTTCAGGTATAAGGCAATAAAGAGCAGAACTACAAAAAAACTACCTTAAGTTCTTTAAGTGGGCGCCCGCTACATGGCCGTGCAATAATGATGTCAGGTGAGGCCAGCTCTCCCACCCCAACTGCAAAAGTTGCATATTTAAAGTTACCTGATTAAGTACTGGCAAGGAATCTGGTACCTAAGACCCTGAGGTTCTGTGCTGAGACTGGCTGTAGATCTCTGCCAGTTTAGTTGCTGTGTCTCAACTAAAATTTCTATTTCAAATGACTTGCCTTGCTTAGGGCTCATCTTGGGGGCTGGGGGTACAAAACCTCAAGTAGAAGGCTAAGTATTGAAAATCTAGGCCAGGTGCAGTAGCTCACACTGTCAATCCCAGCACTTTGGGAGGCCAAGGCAGGCCGATCACTTGAGGACAGGCGTTCCAACAGCAGCCTGCCCAATATGGCAAAACCCCGTGTCTACTAAAAATACAAAAATTAGCCAGGTGTGGTGGTACGTGTCTGTAATCCCAGCTACTTGGGAGGCTGAGATGGGAGAATCGCTTGAATCCAGGAGGCGGAGGTTATAGTGGGCCGAGATTGCACCACTGCACTCCAGCCTGGGCAATAGGGCAAGACTGTTTTTAAAAAAAAATTTAACTAGTACCACATAGGGAGTCAGTCTTCCCACCAAGGCTAGGGATGGAGAGGGAATAGAGACTTGGCCAAGCATGGACTCCATAAGCTCTTTTTGTAACATAAGTATGCTAGTTACCACGGAAACCAGATACATTTATTAAACCTACTCTTAGCCAAGCAATTAGATACAAAGATGTCTATACAGAGTTCACAACCTACAGCACTTAACCAGGGAATGCTCGGTAAAGGCAACTTCAGTTTAACTGACTACTCCATTTCAAGTGGGTAACGTGTCCTCTGGTTGCAGCTATCTAGTTAGGAAAACTAGAAGATGCTGTTGCTACCCAGAATGTTCTGTTCAAGTGAGCTTGAAGCTAGAGCACAGTGTAGCCTGCTGTATGGTGAGCAGAGGTTCACTCCATTGTTTCGGCAGCCTCCTCACTTGACTCTTCCTCCTCCTCTAGTAAGCAGCTTCTTGTCACAGACTTCTGGATAGCTTCCCGCTCTCCTGGAGAAGGCAGATAACAGATGAAAGATCACTTTGGGGGTGATTTCTTTGGCTCAAGGTCTGTCACTGCTCAGTGGCCCTGGGCTAGTGTTGCTTACCTTCATCAGTGCAGTTCTGCAACAAGATCAACAGCTGTTTCCTGTTGTACTGAATTAGGAACTTCTGACATGTTCTTATTGTACCTGGCATATGAGTTATTGTGGTCAACAGCTTGTGAAAGGTCTCGACTTTATAAAGAGGTAGGGGAAGAGTGTCTTGTTAGTGGGACAGCAAGAAGACCCACCCAACAGTTTAGACTCAACTCTGAACGTGTCACCTATTGAAAATCAGTAGCCATGTGGTAACATTCCACTCCTACCTCCCACATGTAACGTGTTGAAAAAGCATGGGTAACGATGTCCTTTGTTCTCCAAGTACGTGATGAAGGGAAGAGCTGACCACACAAGCTGATAGAATTCTTTTCTGCATCGAAGTAGCACTATTCCAGTATAGGCATTGAGGTATCGAACTAGAACAGGGGGAAAAAAAATCGTTTTGGAAAACTTTTGCCAGGTGTGTTGGCTCATGTCATGCCTATAATCCCAGCACTTTGGGAGGCTAAGGCGGGTGGATCACTTGAAGTCAGGAGTTCGGGACCAGCCAGGCCAACATGATGAAGCCCTGTCTCTACTAAATACAAAAATTAGCCAGACATGGTGGGGTGCACGCCTGTAATTCCCTACTCAGGAGGCTCAGGTACGAGAATTGCTTGAACTGGGGAGGTGAAGCCAGCAATGAGCTGTGATCTCACCACTGCGCTCCAGCCTTGGTGAAACGAGACTCTGTCTCCAAAAAAAAAAAAAAGGGGGAAACTTTGGAGTCGCAGGAGCATATTAAAAACCTTGGAGTAACAGAACCTACTATGTGCTCAATGTATGTTGCAGGCAAGTGGCATGTAGGATGTATCAGCGAGTAAAAAACAGGAGAAAAGCCAAAACACCCACTGTGTTGCATACCACTCGGAACTGGTGAACGAATTTAGAATTTAAAATGCTTTCTAATTCACTAACTAGTTAATTCAATAAATAGGAGCAGGTAGGAGGCGATCCATTTTTATTTAGGAAGAAAACTACAAAACTCTTGCCTGAAAAACAGGCTGTTTTGCTGCAATTGGGCTCTAATTCTTGTAGCAGTCAGCTTAGTCTCACCTGATTTAGGGGAGTTAAGGCTATCTTCGAGGTAAAAGAGGGAACCAATTTAAGTGGTGTGGAAGGGCCCCTCTTTGTTGCAGCTCATCCGATATTTACATATATAAACAATCGTGTGTTCTGCACTCTGCCAACTATTTAAGGGCTTTCCCAGGGGTACTTTTGACAATTTTTTTTTCCATGTGACGTTAATGTAATCGGTCATACAGCTCTTACTAGCAACTATACACTGCTTCCCTCATTTAATTCTCTATCAAATTCAATTACAACAAATTACAGATGTCAAACAGGTAAAAAGAGGCCTTTAGTTCAAGGTCTCACTGCCTTCGGGCCCCTCCTTTTAGCTCTCTGCTAACTTCGGACTTGTCTGGATCAAGTCTCGCTCGGGGTCCCAGGCGCTTAAAGAGATACCTTACAAAAAGCAGTTGCACGGGGGCTGGGCCACTCCAGCAGTGGCTCGTGCCCCTTCTTTCTTCCTCCGGCGCCTGCCCCTTCCACGTCCCGCCATCCTCCCGGGTTCCCCCAGCGCCCTCGCACCCGCGAAGCCAATGGAGCAGGCGGCTGCGCCGAAAGTCCCGTGCATCCGGGCGATCGTGTCCCGTACGAGGCTGCTCAGAACTCGGTCATCGAGGCTCAGGCGGCAGCGGGGGTCGTCCGACACCAATTCGCAGAGCAGATACCTGAGGCAGGCGAGAGGAAGGTGGGCGCTTGCGGGGCCGCGAGGTCCCGCCAAGACACTGGGTGGGTCTGGAAGGAACAGCTTACCTGTGCTTGAATCGCACCATGGCTGCCTCCGCGCCCTCCGGCCCGTTGTGCCAACAGGATGTGTGTTCCGCCCGCTGCCAATGGAAAGATTGCTTCCTCAGCCTTTCAGCCATTCAGAGAAGGAGGCAGGACATGAGGGCGGAGCTAGAAAGTTGAGAAGCCGAGCTCTGTGTCAGTCTCCCTCAAGACCCGCCTCGTCTCTGAAAGCGCGCATGCGTACTGCGGAGGACCCGGACTAGTTTGAGGGCTGAACTCCGGGTATGAATCGTCTTGCAGCTGTGATGGTTGGTTCTGCTGCACTTCGGAGTTTACAATAGTGTGTACTGTATTGTAAATATAGGGTGCAGCCGCTTTTCTTGGGGCCCTGGAAACCTTGCAGCACAGTTATGTATGCGAGTATATTTTCTCTCCAAGGTGAACGGTGGAGCTTTTGAGGGCAAGACCCTGCACCTCAACAGCCCAGGGATTGACAAACGGGAAATCGGACCCTTATTTTCAGGTTAGAGCTCAGTTTAATTCTTCCATACAGCTAAATATGCTAGTGTTGTTTGCGCCTTTCAACAATCTTAGGGAGGCGAGTGTGCTGTCTCGTTTTTGGTTTACAGAAACAATACGTGGTCATTGTATTTTCCATTTCTTTTTTCCTTTTTTTTTTTTTTTTTAACAGAAAAGCACCAAGAAGCAAATAAATTATAATCCCAGCACTGAGAGAGAATAACTGTTGTCGTGTCACGTGTTTTCTTCTATCATTTTCTCCCTGCGCCAGCGGTTCTTAAAGTGTAGTCTGGGGACCACAGAGATTTCCTAAACTCACTCAGTTTAGGAGTCCCCGAAGTCGGAATTACTTTCATAATAATACTAAGATGTTACTTGCCTTTTTCACTCTCTCAGAATGAACAGTCAAGTTTTCCGGAGACTGCTTGACGTGATGACATCATTGCTCTAACAGCTAATGGAATTGTATAATGTTTTCTAAACATTTCTCAGCTTTAGTAAATATGACCCACAAAAATAAAAGCTCTTTGGGATCCACAGTAACGCGTGTAAAGGGGTCCTGAGACAGAGAAAACAGTTTGAGCACTATGACGTCTGTTAAATTATGTTTTTTCTTTTATTTTCAAGTTGTTTTTTTTAATGTCTCATTGGGGTATTACATGAAGTACATATTCTTTTTTTCTCTCGCTCTCGAGAAGGAGCCTTGCTTTGTCACCCAGGCGGGAGTCCAATGGCGGGATCTCA